ATGTTTTAAAGTACCTCTAAAACCCTTGGTGGGATAGGAAGAGAAATTAGAGTGGAAGGGTTTTTTGTTGTTTGTTTATTTGTTTTTTTAGGAGACTGTTCATAACTTCTACCCTGTGGAGACACAGGTTTATGAATCACATCATAGACTTGTCAACATGGAGAAACCATAGAACTATGGTTGGTTGTTATGCTGTCTTCCCAAGCAGTTGACATTGATGAGCATTAATTTTGACACTTCTCATATGTTTGCTATAGTCTTGATACCTATAGATTATTTAGGATCACAAACATTGCATAGATAGCTCAAAGTCTTTCTTCATGTTGAGATAACCCTTAGAATGATTACATGAAAAATGCCTCTTGTTTAAATTACGGAAGTAAAATTTGAAAACTAACATTTGGAATCACTTATCTAACTAAAATGATTTCTGTTAATATTATGCAAAAAGGATAAATACAAAGACTATTTTGTTACATAAATACTTGCCCTCCTTAGGAGTTTTCTGTTTAAAAAAATATAGCTTCAGAAAAGAGGTTGTGGCATTTCTCTGTTAATGTTATACATAGTTAGAATTGGGAAATTGTGTGTCCTCCATTGTTGTCTTGTTTCTCTGTTATGGATTTTCCTGTTTTGTTTGTTTTTCAGTAATGAGATTCCAGTGAGGATTTGGCTCTGCTATTTGATCAACATAATAATTAAGGGCATAAGGGTAAAGTTTGTGAATTTATTGCTACAAGTACACAAGCTGCAAAATAAACATTGTCCCAAAGCCTAGAAGTATCAAGAGGAAAACTTAATGATAAAGATTTTAAGTACTCTAGAAAATAAAGTGAAACAGAATTGTGTGTGTGTGTGTGGGTGTGTGTGTGGGTGTGTGCCCATGTATAAATACTTTTAAAGTGATAGGAAAATATTCTGTAGTGTTGATTTCTTTGCTCAGAACCATTAGTGCTGAGTTAAAACAATACGATCATTTAAATAATTGTAATACTATTCCTTTTTTCTACAATCTAGGTTTTACTGAACACATGCTGCCTGCAGAGCTGTCTTTTCCTCTAAGTAAAAGCTAAGAACAAAATCATAGCCCACTTCACTTACTAGATATATTTATACAGCTTAAACCTCTCTAGTATCAATCAAATGCATTAGAATTTGCTTCTTTGTTCATAGATTCTAGCATGTGCTTAGAGAAACTAAACAATAATTTCTATTCAAGCATATTTTAAAGATTATTGAGAAGAGAAATACCACACTAAAGAATTACTTAAGGCACTATCAACATACATGCATATGTTAGGTAGAGTTACTGTTTAAATTATCTGTAAGGAAAAACTTAACAGCATACGTTCAGTATATGTCCTTTTCAAGAAATTAGAGAATACTGAACTCTTTTTTTGTTAATATATAAACCTGCTGCTGATACAAAATTTAGGATTAATTTGATTCACTACATAAAATTTCTATATTCATAGAAACACATGTCTATTTTGGCTATAACTTATTGCTGAGTAAAGGTATACAGCTGCTTTATGCTGCCTCTGTCACAAGAAGTGCAATGACATCTAAAATTAATTGATATTGCAAACTCTAGTGAAAAGACATTGGCAGCTGGCATCTTGTCTGTATATTAAAATTTCAAGGTTATCTGCAGAAATTTTCTTTTTGCACACTACCCATATTCCCTCTACAAGGGATTTATATTGCTTTTTGTCTTTTTTGTTGTTGTCATTGTCGTATTAAAATGTCACTTCCCAAAGTACAGCATTAGGCAGAGAATGGCTTCCAGAAATGACATTTCAAAATGCTGATATATTAGCATTTGATTTGGTTTGCTTTTACTTATTTTCTTCTTACAAACAAGAGCATTGAAGTTAATGTGGTTACCAAACATGACTGCAAGACAGATGATAGGTAAAGTGTATATAGTAAAATGGCCTACATTTTACCAACAGGAAGGTTTTCTTTTCTTGGTTTTCTATGGTTGGTACCTTGGAGTTAGGATCACTATGAGGTCAATTTAATGAGGAAAGGAAAAGAATGTGTGAGAAAAAGTATTCCTAATATTTCATTGCTATGTTTTCATAGACAGCAGAAGGTTAAGACATTATCTATCCTCACTGTATTTATCAGATATTATTTTCTGAAATTTACCATATATAGTGAGCTTAAGACAGTATAACATAATGACCCTAAAATATTGAGAAACTGAATGAGAAAATGTATATATTTCATAACCCCCATTGGCTAAACACTTTATAAATCAGACAAATAGAAGCTTTTCTACATCAACACGAGTGAAATGCTGCAAATGAAATTATGCTTATCTGAAGAGACACAAAGTACATCACGCTTTGGCTAATGTGAAGCGATCAAATCTGCCCCCTAGCCCCATTCAACCAGATGTAGAAATCAAAGCATTTATGTTTTTGTACCATTTTTATTTTAATTTTTCATTAGCTAATTTAATTCAAGGTTTTCAGGCAGAACCACTAAATTAATAAAAATAAAGGCCTTCAGACTAAAAGGGGTCTAAAAGATCAAAAGGAATCAAAATCCTAAGCAAGTAGCACACACCAAAACCAGCCACATAAAATACAGCAGGGCTGAAAATGCTAATACAATGATAAATATTTAAATTTCTCATATTGATGAAACTACTGAAAACTCAGAGCAGAAAATGTATTCCCTTACTGTGGAAAACAAGAGATAAACTAATACTAACACAGAAAGATGCTAGGAGAAATCCCGCATAGTTACACTTAATGGCATACACTTCATAAGCTGCCCAGTCATTAAGACGAATAAACTTAAAAGTTTCAAATGAATTGGGGACAACACAGTTTGGAGCAGGAGGAAAGAACACAACCAGTGACACTATAAGGAATGAGTATGAAGGATTTTGTGTGGTGCATGCTGCTAGGAGATGCTTTGTGGATGTAAATTTCAAAGGAAAATCCAAACAGCAACAGAAATAATGGACAACTATAACTATAATTAATGGGACATGCTGAATTACATTAGGTGGTGATATTAGTGTTTCAAAACATTTACCGATCTGCAGGCTCTTGATCTGTTTTTATTGTGTTAGCCCACAAAATCCAAGCCCATACAACAGCAGGAGAACCCAAAGAGTGCATTTTTAATATGACAGAAGTTTTATGTATATTCCTATACATAAAATTCAAATTCTGTTTCCTACCACTATAAGCAATACTTGACATGATACTGTAATATCAACTTACAGTATGGAATTCTTTCTATAATAACTGCTGTTATTATAGCTATAATGTGTTACTTATTTTACAAAGGAAGTGATTCTACATTACTTGAAACTTAGATATCAGAATTTTCAAATTCACTATTTTTTTCTCCTTTAAAGTACAGTAAGAAGTTTTTAAAAGGAGGAAAGTTAGTGAGAAGAAAACAGTATTAATGGTTGACTATATTAGTAGTAAGGCTGACTATCTTAGTAGTAATAAAGAGCTAGATGACTGTTTGGGTGTGCCAGTAGTGGTGGAAATCATAAGCTTTTGGTGATAGAGTTGTTAACTTTTTTTCTCTTCAGTTTGGTAACAGTGAAACACTTCTTTGACATCTCTCTTCCATTTTAAATCTATTATAAAATACTCAAGTTCAATTCCAAATTGAGAAACCTTGAACACAGCTACTCATGTTACATGGCTAATTAAAACTCCAGTATGGTATTTGTATAAACATGTCCTAGATTTTAATATGGTTTTTACATTTTTAATGAAGAACAGACTTTTAATGTCTGTCTCAGAATAGTTTGTGTCTTGAACAAGAAAAAAGTATTGTCAAGTACCAATAATATCTGCTTTATTTGTAAAGCTTTTAATTAAACCTTGGTAATACATAGTCAAGATTTTATAGGTAATAGTGCATCTACCTGAACTAAAACATTCATTCATAATTAAGAATTATACAATAAACAATGACCACAGATAAACGGAAAAAAATCAAACAATAAAGTTCATATTGCTGGTTGTAACTCATGATTTCAGGAGCCACCCGGAAGAGTGCTGCTGAAGGGCAAAGGGTACATTTGAGTTCCTTGAAAATCATGGAAATAATTATCCAGTAACAGGCTAAGAAACAGTGACTCATGAAGCTGACATTATGACATTGCCCATGCTCACATTGTTGTGTGAACTGTGTTTTGTCCCAATTGAATTTTGGCAGCAATTAACTTTGGTGTCAAGAACTATGATGTTTAATTATCCTCTAGAGTTTAGGAGAAACTTGACTTAGCATCTTTTTCTGGCTTTGAATCTGGTTACATGCAGATTGAAATAAATAGACATGATTAATACACAAGGCTAATGACATGAGTTCCATCTCTGGAACACATGTAAAGGTGGAAGGAGAGAAGCAATTCTTCTAATTGCTCTCTGATGTTTGCATGCATGCCATAGCAATCAAACACCCAACCTCACACTCACACACAAACACACAAACACACACATACACACACACACACACACACACACACACACACACACACACACACACACACAGAGACACACACACACACACACACACAAATAGCAATTAATAAAGTTAAATTTATTATGGTTTCTACATTTTCAGCACTTTTAAAACTGCATAGATACAAATGAAAATCCTGTGTGAGCCTACAATGGACACGATAACATGTTACCAGCTAAGACACAAATGACAATAAATTTCATTACCTTTGCAGGAAAACTTTTAATTCTAGCAACCAGTTATTACTAAGATACAGATATGAATCTTCTCTGTAAAGATATTCATGTCATAGGAAGGTCAATTTCTCCATTATTACATCTTTGTTTGCACAGTTTTGTAAATGAATTTTCATTTGTATCTGTTCAGAAAAACAATAGAAGAAAGATTAACAAAAAACAACAAAAGGAGAATCACTACTAACTGAGGTACATAAACTTATGTTCTGCCTTATCATGCAATAATATACATAGGAAGCATTTCTCTTTTTGGGGGTGGATGCAAGAACTTTATTCAAAGTGCAATGAAACTTGTTAACAACTTAAAAGATGGGGTAAATTAAAACACCTCCCCTCAAGCCCAAGAACAAGCACAAGGTGTGCTCTTTCTAGACAGTGTAGTGAGAAAGGTGCGTCCATCTTCCTATTTGACTTTCTTGGTGGTGTTACTGGGCTCTATTTCCAGGGTGATGGTCTTGCCTGCTAGGGTCTTCACAAAGATCTGCAACCCACACCTGAGGCAGAGGACCAGGTGCCGGGTGGACTCCTGGATGTTGTAGTCGGACAGGGTGCGGCCATCTTCCAGCTGCTTACCGGCAAAGATTAGCCTCAGCTGGTCAGGGGGGTATGCCCTCCTTGTCCTAGATCTTTGCCTTGACATTCTCAATGGTGTCCCTGGGCTCGACCTCCAGGGTGATGGTCTTACCGGTCAGGGTCTTCACAAAGATCTGCATCCCAACCCTGAGGCGGAGGACCAGGTGCAGGGTGGACTCCTTCTGGATATTGTAGTCGGACTGGGTGCAGCCATCTTCCAGCTGCTTTCCAGCAAAGATCAGCCTCTGCTGGTCAGGGGGGATGCCCTCCTTGTCCTGGATCTTTGCCTTGACACTCTCAATGGTGTCACTGGGCTCGACCTCTAGGTTGATGATCTTACCAGTTAAGGTTTTCAGGAAGATCTGCATTGTCAGTTGTGGCGGCAGCAGTCCTCACAGAGAAGCAGCAACTGAACTCGGGTCTCAGATGGAACACATAGGAAGCATTTCTTCCATATTATTTTTTGTGGTTGCTTACTTATTTTGTACTCCATCATTGTAATATGTGCTTCTGCTCCGACTCAGTTTTCCATTTTAAAACTCTTTACTAGACTACACACCAATAGAAGGTGCATAGGCTGGGCAAAATTGCAGAATGAATAGAAATGCTTAATGGATATATTTTTATCCAAGAAGCTCAAAATATACCTTGAAGTTTGGCATAGAACATAGCCTAAAGTAAGCCACAGAATTAGAGTAGACACCCCTGTGGTTTGTGTATTTTTTAAATGAATAGTTCTTAATTAATGCGCCCTAACTGAAATGGACTACCAGACTTAGGGAACCAAGCAGGCATTAACATTTAATTGACTGAAAATGACTGACAGAGTGCTATCTTCAAGTGGAATTATATATGAAGAAGGGGAAGAGAAGCAAAGCACTGAGGTCAGATATATAACTCATGATCACATGGTTGTGTTTTCAGCGTACATGCTCATGGTATAGGTTTTCTCATAGCATCATCATAACTTCACAAATAGTTTCTCATCTTCATTTGAATACATGCTCAGAGAATGGAAAAAAACCTACTTAATATGACACACTGTGTGCAGTACAGACACTAAATAGTCTTGTGCTCAGCATTACTGAGAAATAAGGGATATCACAGAAAGAAGTGAGTTTTAACACTCTCTGGTGTGTGTGTCACAAGAGCAGGTTTTATTTATAACTCAATTTAACAAGCTTGTAAGAATCTTCAGCAATTTGTAAAGTGGAGTTCAATTTATTAGAATGACCAAAGGGCTCTACAGGCACAAGAATAAGTTATAAGTGAAAAGATGTTTGCTGAAGGATTTATGTACATGATCCTTTCAGAATCAGCCCAGCATATAAAAATATCCACTCTAAAAATCCACACATTAGTACCAATTACTACTTTAATTTTCTATTCTTTTCCGAGATTTTATTATTAAGAAGCTTTAAGTTCCCAGAAAAATTAAGAAGTTTTAAGGTTTCCTTCAGATATATAACTCATGCTAACATGGTTATGCTTCAGGGAACATGCTCATGGTACATGCTCTTATAGAACTCCTATCTACATTCATGTATACCATCCCCATTGATAACATCGTCCACCCAAGTAAGTCTTTGTTAGACTGCTAAACATACACAGTCATATGAATCACAATCGGAAGTTCAAATTGCACTTGTTGTGTTATATGTCTTGTAGAGTAGACAAATATATATACATAAACCAGAATATATCCCTACCCTAAGATGCCTATGTGGTTTGCATATACACCTGTAATTTTTTTACAACCAGAGTGGCTACTAATTGTCTTCATCTTTATCAAGTATTCTAAGTTTTGTACTGCTACCATGGATCACAGAACAAAGCTGCATGCTTATTAAACTACATGAATTCAGTTTGATCCCTAAAATTAAAGAAGAATTAGAAGTGAGAATTGATTCCAAAATTGTCTTCTGACTTCCACATACAAGTCATAGCATGTATTCCTATTCCTGGACACCAAACACACACACACACACACACACACACACACACACACACACCACATGAGTAAAATAAATAAATGTTTAAAAAAATAGTCCTAACTTTTCTGCAATGCCACACTGATGAAACTGTGGATTGTACTGACTGTTCCATTAATGACCTAGTCAATTTTCCATAATTGTGAAAATGTATCTGACAAAGCTGATGTTAAGTAAAGGCTTATTTAGGCTCATGATTTCATGGTTTCAGTACATGCTCACTTGTTCCCACTGTTTCTGATTTTGTGGAGTGCCAAAACATGAGCCAGAAGGGAGCTGTTCAATGACAGCCAGAAAGCAGAGCCCGAAATGAGCAAGACAAGAGGGCTGTGGACAAGTCAGTTCTTTCGAAGGCAGTGCCTGAGTTTCCTACTCTGAGAGGTCTCACTTCCTAATAGCCCCTTCATCTAAGATCTCAATGGACCAATTCTCTAATGAGGTTTGAGCCTTTATCATCCTATCCCTTCTCAGAAACATCACCATTAGGAGAGGGAAAATTTCACTGGAGGTCTTCCAAATCTAAGCCATAACAAAAACTAGTATGTGTTTGAGATTCTTTCTTACCTTTGAGTGACTAAATGCATTATTATTATGTCAGGAAAAACAATGCATTTTTACTTTTGTGGTGCTGTAGTCACAAACAGGTCCTGTGTTTACTAAGAAAGCAGAACAAACCTTAGGGTCCTAACCTAAGTGATAAATCCTAATTTGTCAAGAGGGTGAGTCAAGTTATTTATTCATGACATGACTGAAATAATATTTTTAAACATTAGTGTTTTTGGCAATTACAAATAAAGGTCTTTAGGAGAACATATACTTTCAATTCCATCTGGTAATGCCAAGAAGTATATTTACAGAGTCATATGGCATGAGGATGCTTGCATTTTAGAGAAAGTCATATCTGGCTTCATAAGTAGATGTACTTGATACTGTTCTGTCATTAGATAATTTCTCTATAGTCTCTTGTTGAATTTCAGTCATCTTTGTATAGTTTGTGAATAGCAATCATTAATCACGTGTCTGCTGAAAATATTTCTGTTACTGTATATTGTTATGCTCATGTTGTCTTTCACAGGACACACATATTTTAAAATTTTTAACAAAGTCTACTTCATCCTTCAGCTCTTTGATGCCTTGTGCCCTTGTGTTGTATTTTGAACTATATTGTCAAACCCAAGGGGATTATAAGGTTCTAGTTGTAAAGCTTTAAAAATATTAGAGAGCTACAATCCATCTGAGATAATTTTGTGCACACAATGTCTTATTTGGTTCTCCTTATTTATGCCTAATTGTTACAGCATCTTTTGCCAAAAAGGCTACTTTGATTATAATATAAAAATTGTTTAATTCTTACTTATTTAACAAATATTATTTGTAACTTGTTAGTAATTCCTTATTGCATTTTCCTTATCATGGCTAGAGATTTATATGTTGTATTGATCCTTTCAAGTAGCTGGCTTTGTTTTCAAAGATTTGTAGGAAGCTGTTTTCAATTTCATTGATATCTGCTTTAATTCTGATTCTGTCTTTCTTCTAATTGCTTTGGATTTGATTTACTTTGCCTCATTTAGGTTCTTGGGATGGACACATAGAAAATTCATTTGATCCTGGAGATTCCCATCTAAGCATTGTTTTCACTGTATCCTACTATGATTTATATGTGTGTTTATTCAGTGTATGCATATGTGTGTGTGCTGGTGCCACAGAATGCTTGTTTTAGAGGACAACTTGCAGGAGTTGGTTCTCTTCTCCTATTCTGTGTATTAAGGGGAATAAACTTACCCCATTAGGTTTGGCAGCAGAGAGTCCTTTTATATCTGGGCATCTCTCCAGAGCCACTGGGTTACATGAATTTTATGTTTTTTTAATATTCATTTATTCAAATTATATACATATATATTAATAAGTTTCTAGTAAACATTCTTGTTTATCCATATGATTATTTTTAAGTGGATTTTTGTGTTTGCTTTTGAGAAGAGTCTCTCTATCATCACATGCTGACTTTTGGCTTGTAAACCTCTCTTCAGCCATCTATCTGCAAAAGTTTTTCCTCATGCACCTGCTTAGGAATGTTTTTTAAATCTTCATTTGTTTGAAATTAATCTCTCTATTTTCTATTAATATTTTATTCAATCCCACTGTGGTTTAAGAACAGAAAATGTATAAGCACATTTATTAACTCTTTTATTAACATTTACAATGTGTTTTATGACCGAGAAATTTTTCTTCTCACATTTGGGACATTATAATAATCAGGAGGTGCTTCCCTTTTTCAAAATTAATTTAATTCTGAAAATAATCTATTAAGTTCAATTCTGTTAACTAGGATATGCTGGAAATGCCTATGCATAGTTAAGAACAGAATTTGGGAGCTTTAAAAGGGTTTGTGGATAAAATCTTTGCCACTTGAAAATGAGGAGCTTACTTTATATCTGTAATAACTACATAAAGCCAAACATAATAGATCAAATCTGTAATGTTAGTGACCTTACAGCAAGATGAGAGATAGAGACAAATAAATCCCTATTTATTCCCATAACAGAATGGCACAGGCAGTGATGGACAACAAAGGAGGTGGAGGCTAAGCAACTACTCCTGAAGTTCCCTTTGTCCTTCACAGATACTTCAAGGCATCGCATACCCTGTGCAATACAACCTCGTACACACAAGTACACACACACACACACACACACACACACACACACACACACACACACACACACACACACACATACCCACACATGAATGCATACATATTTACAAACTCAAACAAGAAAAGTGTTGTATGATGTCTTTAAAATAGTTATTGCTTTCCCCATTCTAGTTAACTAAGAGAAACATATATTCATTCAGAGAGGCTTTAACCTGTCACATATATCCCTAGAAATAAAGATTTTGGCCATAATGCTTACAAAGGATCTCTTGAGATGTGTGTGTGTGTTGCTGTAAATTAGAGAATGGTAAGTGCATTGTGGCCTAGGAGCCTTGTATCTAACTATGATGTTAAGATATACTATAAGGAAAGTTGCTTATAAACAATTTCTATTTTTGTTCTGCCCTTTTCCAGTATTATATGTCAACAAATTCAAAGGGTCAGTCTTTGTTTTTAAATTAATTTTTATTTAAATTTAAAACAATCTTATTTTCCATAACAATCCTCATTCCCTCTCCCCTACATCCTCTCACTCCCCACCTTGCCATCTCTCCTTCCTAGCCTCAATCCAAGCCTCGGGTAAGACAAGGCCTCCCGTGGGGGATCATCAGTCTGTCACATCATTTGGGCCAGGAGCGTGACCCTATCCCATGTATCTAGGATGAGACAGTATCCCTCCATAGGGGGTGGGCTCCCAAAGCACATTCATGCACTAGGGATAAAA